GTTTCTAAAATTAGTTATTAATAAGAAATTTTTAGAAATTAAATCTTATTTTTCTATAAACAATAAAAATAAATTAATATATAAATATATTATGAAAGAAAAATCATATATATTGAATAAAATAATTAAAAATTATATTTCTTTTGTTTCAAAATAAGTGTCATTTTGACACTTTTCACACAAATTAAAAAAATTATTAAAATCTGTTTTACCCTTTGTTCATACACAAAATAACATTCTCTTTCTAATCAAAATAATAAAAGTCAAAGGTTAAAACTGGATATTTATTCAAAATTACGCATTATAAATGCAAAGTGACACTTTTTATGAAACAAAAATAAAACTTTAAAATGACACTTATTTTGAAACAGAGGGAGAATTTAAGACCATTATTAAACTATTACAAAATTTTAATCACGACAAATAATTAAAATATGAACTGTTAACTTAAAATATATTAGTTGTGGTCCGTGTTAATGTTTTAGACCAATAAAAATGTCCACATAGAACATAAAACCTCAATATGATTGGTTTATATTAATGTTTTTTATTAAACATAAAAAAATTTAAATAAGATTAATAATTTGAATACATTAAAACATGCAGAAATATAAAATAATCATAGTAGAATAGAAAATTAAGATAAAAAAGTTAAACTAACAAAACAGATAAAATAAAATTGGGCCAAAAATCCAAATATATAATGTTTGTCAAAATAAAATGAAAACTCATTGTCACAAAAGCTAAAATAACAAAATAAATAATCAATATCAAAAAGTTAAATTAAAAATATTAAATTTTGTAACATATATATTTTAAATGAGTAATTTATTTAGAAAAAAATATTAAGATTAAACTGTTATATAAACATATAGAATTGTTATTTAAAAATATCAATACTACCAAAAAAATATTCATGTTAAATTAACAAAACAAAATCATCTAAAACTTGATATTTAACCTAATTTTTTAGAAAATTAACACAAAAGCTTATCTAACCAAAAAATAATACTTTATGCTAATTACTGAAGAAAATAATATAAAAAAAAGTTTAACTAACAAAAAAAAACACAAATTATTTCTTGCAACATGTCAATACAATTATAATGAAATTCTAATTCAAAAAGTTAAGTTAACAAAAAAAAAGAGAGGATATGAACATGATATCTATTCTATTTACTTAACAAAATCAGTATAAACAAAATAAGTAATACTTAAAAACTTAATTAACAAAACAAATATAAATATTTAAGCTAATTATGTACCTCTAAGGATGTCCACATCCTCTACATATTAATTGAGAATATAGTTTAATGAAAACTTATGATTTGTTTTAATTTGATTGGTTAAAATATTTTATCTAACCTAATTAAATGTGATATGGAAATGATGATGTGTAATAATGATGTAATTATTATATGGCATTTGCTAATACATGTGGATTTTGACATGGTAAAATATTTTTTTTTGTGTTTACTTTCTTTTAGTTCAAATAATTGTCATATTTCCATTAAACAATTTAATGATCATATTTAATTTTTATAAATTGTAAATCTTATTTAAGTGCATCATTATATATTAATATCATGCATAAATGTGTTCAAAAACATATGTTATAATTTTTAAGAGTAGCATAAAATTAAACACATCTTCAAAAATATTATATCTTGATCACATGCACATATGTGTTAAAAAAAAACACTATGCATAAATGTGTTCACGTCAAACTGTATAAAAATTATATCACGATCACATGCACAAACCATATATACTATAATAATATGTTTTTTACATTGAAAAACTACAATTATTGTTATGAGAATTGTAGATAAAATATTTATCAGAATATATTTTGATCTCCTAAAAAATATAATTTTATTCATTAGAATAAACAAATGACGTACTTCTTTCAAAAGAATAAAAAAAAACAACATATTCCTTTAATCGGATTTTCACAGAAATTTTTGAAAATTATATTTATAAGTAAGTTTTTAGTGAAAGATTTACGGTTTCACTTATATGGCGAGAAATTCATGAAATTAAAATTTTGACTGATAGTGTTTGGAATCATATTTTAAATATAATAATTTAAGCAAAAACTTTTTATGAATTCACTTTTTGGCGGAAAATTAACAAAGTTGAAATTTTGATAAAATGTTTTTGGATCATAGTTTTGATGTAATTTTTTAGGTGTCAGAGTTACTTATTCATAGTTTTGGCATAAAATTTGCGAAATGAGTTTTTTGATGAAAAGTTTTTGGAATCTTATTTTAAATATCTTATAATTTTATTCGACTGATTTTTTTCTTAGAGTCGAATTAAACAAATAAGATGAGAAACTCATAAATAAGATTGGGCGGTTTTTCTGAGAATATTCTCTCTGTACTGTTTTTCTCCCAATGCCTCTTTTCTCTCTTCTGATTAGATTTCTCTTTCTCAGTTCTCTCAGAGAAACCACCAAAATTGTAAAAATAAAAGACTTTTTTTTTTTATTTCAGATTACAATTTTCAATTAAGGAAAGTAAAACACGATTTCAACCTATGAGTAAGAAGGTCAATTTTGACCCATGAACTTCTCTTGGTAAGGGATTTCAAGTTTTTGAACATTTTTCATCAAAATACTCATTTCGCAAAAGTCTTTCAACACTTTCCTCTCAAAATTACCTTTTTAACCTTCCCCCACATCTATATCTACGAGTTTATGTTATGTCCTCTTTTTGATAATACTAGGTATTTATCCGTGCTACGCTGCAGGATATTTTTTCTAGATTTGTATATATTTTTAATATACTAAAATTATTTCTATAATATAAATGAGTATTATGTTTATTTTTTTATTAGCTTAAGTTATGTATTTATATTTTTTAAATCTGAATAAACATTATATATCATTAATTTTTTATTTTTTAAAATTATAATCTACTATCAAATTTGTTTAGCTAACTATCTATAAATGTATATGTAAGAATAAAACAATACATTCTTAAGTACCTTCATGCAAATGGTAAATGTAATTTATTTTCTCTACTAAATTGCTACTTGATCCTCTTTTGAAATTATATAAAGCAAGTTGCAATTTAAAAAAATATTAATTAATATAATTATTTTAAATTATAAAATTTATTTATTTATCAAATATTTATTATAAACATATGTTTCTAAAACCATCAAACTATAATCAATAACATTCATATCAAAATCGTTACTATTACTTTAGAACTAGAAAGTTTTATATGAACTGTTGAAATATCAATTTAGTTGAACTTAAATAATTTAATTTGGATTACTATAAACATATTGTAACTTGAAAATTTAGCACATAGAAATTTTATCTTTTTACAAAAATGAAAAATTGTATTTTCCAACAAAACAAAAAAAATTATTTTCTCACAAAACTAAGAAATCACATATTCCCACCAAAACCAAAAAAAATTATTTTTGCGTCAAAACTGAAATTTCATTTTCTTACCAAAACAAAGAAATTGCATTTTCCCTCAAAAACAAAAAAAAAATCATATTTTCCCGCGAGAACTTGTGTTTTCCCGTCAAAACAGAAAAATCAAGTTTTTTCACCAAAACTAAAAAAATTCATTTTCCTGCAAAAACCAAAAAATAGTATTTTCCCTTCAAAACCAAAAAAATTATTTTCTCGCCAAAGTCGAGAAATCGTCTATTCCTAGCAAAACAAGAAAAAATTATTTTTCTCGTCAAATCAAGAATCACGCCTTCCTACCAAAACCGATAAATTACAATTTTTCGCAAAACCCAAAAATTGCATTATCTCCTGAGAAATTGTGTTTTCCGTAAAAACTAAGAAATCATATTTTCCCTCGAAAACCAAAAAAAATCAAATTATATGTGAAAAACTGAAAATTTGCATTTTCCACCAAAACCAAAAAATTGTTTATTCCCGCCAAAATCGAGAAATTTTGTTTTTCTATCAATCCGAGAAATTGTATTTTCTGCCAAAATTATCAAATTACAATTTTCCGTGAAAATCAAAAAATAACATTATCCATCAAAAGCCAAAAAATTGTATTTTCTATCAAAACCGAGAAATCGTATTTTTTCGTCAAAATTGAAAAGTTGCATTTCCCTCGCATTTTCTCGTCAAAATCAAAAAAAAATTTCTCACCAAAACAAAAAATTCATATTTTTCCGTCAAACCCGAGAATTTGCTTTTTTTCCGCCATAACCGAGAAATCATGTTTTCCTACCAAAACTGAAAATCCTATTTTTCTACCAAAAGCAAGAAATTCTCTATTCCCGCCAAACCTAAGAAAATTTGTTCTCGGTAGCCAGTGGAATTGCGAATCTCCAAGCTGTGGTGGTCTGAGTTTCTCCTCATTTGCTTTCGACTTCTATTTTTTTTGTAAACTTTGGACTTTTTAATGGGTCAGCAAAATAGTAAACTGATTTTATTAGTATGTTAATAATATGTATTATTGTTATGTTTTTATTGGTTCAAGTTTTTGCTCATGTGTGAGTTTCTTATAACATAACGTTTTTTGCATTGTTGTTATGGAAGCTTAGTTGATGATGAGTCTACACTTTCTTTAATCATATATATCTCTATCAAGCAAACACATAGTTAGAAATTTTAATTTTTTTGCTGTTATTTATTATTTGAGTTTCGGTTTGGCAAAAACATAAAACAAAGATTTAATTTTATTATTTGTTGTTATTTATTATTTGGGTTTGGCAAAAAAATAAAACAATTTTTTTTATTTACTGTTATTTATTATTTGGGCTTGAGGCTGACCAAAAAATAAAACTAAAATTAACAATAAAAAATATTTGGGTTTTTAATGGGTTTATATTTAAAGGTTAAAATAAATTGATGATTTGTATTAATGAAATATTTTTATTGGTATTTTTTTTTGCTGAAATGTTATTTCCTAAAAACTTGAAAATGCTGATATGTCAAGCTATGGAGAGATATTTGTGTTATTGTTGTGTTGATGAGCTTCTCCGACTCCAATGTACTATTGGGCTTTTATTATCAACGACGCAATGAAACATAATTGGTTCGGCTCTTACAATCGAGTGGGATTGGATAAACCGAATTAGAGAGCATGTGGTGATGGTTCCATGGGATCATTTCCCCATTTTGTCTTGTCTTGTCTGTGTATGTTCTTCTCTGCCACGTCGTCTCTTCTTCCCTCACATTAGTTTCTTCTCAGGGGACGACTTCCCTTCTTCTGGTAAGTTTATTCGATTGTCGCTTGATTCTATTTCTGCGTGACTATTGCTTTAGATGATGAGCGATGCTCGTCTTTGTTGGAATTGTCGTTTGATTTTTTGTAGTTTGGTTTATGTGATTGAAAATCTGAGAGTAATATGTTTTCTTTGTCTATTAAGAACTACATGCTTCTAAGTTGATTTTCCGCTCGATTTTCTGCTATTAATGGAAAACTCAATTTTCTTATTTCGGCGAAAAATTCAATTTTTCAGTTTTGACGGAAAATTCGATTTTCCGGTTTTGTCGGAAAAACTAGATTTTTTGATTTTGACGAACAGGGTCTTAGTGTTGTGTTTGTTACTCTTTTAAGCATACTAAGTTACTAAGTGGTAATCAAAATGTTCCGTTGACTTTTGATGGAATATTTTGGTGAGAGTGTGATGATGATCTTTTTTTTTTTTTTTCTAGTGTTTCTTTGCTTAAAGAAATTTCAGCTAGCTTTTTCATAAATGTTCTAGCAGGATTGTAATGAACAAAAGCAAAGATAACGTTGAGCCAACAATCAAAGATGATAGTCCATTTGAAAAGCTTCAAGAGGATCTCTTGATAGAGATATTTATCAGAGTTCCAATATCAGAGTGGGAACAAATCTCTTCTGTTAGAAAACAGTGGGCGAATTTATTCCGTGGAGAATGCTTTTGGCAGGCTGCTCTTAACCGGACGTTTCCTTTTGCTACCAAAACTCAAAGATGGATTGGACCAATACGTCGAGGGTTGAACAAACGGTTGATAATCTATGAACAAGCTTGCTGAAAAAAAAATTCTTATCTTAGTTAGATTCAAGGAAACTTAATAAGCCTTTTAGCTGCAGGAGATTTGTGGCTTTATACATCAGCAGAAACATATTACGTGTGGATATAGACATTGATGAAATGCTCGGACATATTTCCTTGTTCTTGAAAGATCAGCTTCAACTTTCAACTACTCCTGCTTCAGGCGTTCTCCATGGAACTTTGATTGGTAATTATGATTATACTTAGCTTGTTCTCTATTAGTATACCATTGACATTTTTGTATCAATTTATTCTGATGGCAGACCAATTGATTGTTTGTGGCAAATCGAAAGAAGAAGCTGATGAGCTCCCGACAAAGATTTGGCTGGCTCTTCTAGACAATTTAGAGGACACAAAACATACATTTGTTGTCCTGAAATCCATTGCGCAAGAATATGATGTAAGTGGGGAAAACAAAGGAAACTCGAATTTTTTTATAAACCGTTTTCTTGTAAGAAAAACTAACTCTCATTCTCTAATAAGTGCAGGGTTTTCTTCCATATCCATATTCAAGACCGATCAAAGTGCAGTGGAAAGTGTTTGAGAAACTGTTTGTGGATTTCCACGACTTGCTTGATCATTCAGAGTATTGCGACCTAATAGGAATTGCCAAGAAGAAGTTTCAAACATTACCACATCTTTGGTTAGGCTATTAACTAACTTTAGCCAAAGAACATTCAAAGTCTGCATCTTTGTAAGAAAAGCGTCTAAAACGCAGATTTTTTAGCCATGTAATATTCGTGGTTACTTGTTGACTAACAACGACTCTTTGTTGACTATTTTAATCTCTTCGTTACTATCAAAACGTTTGTAAAAATCCAAAATTTTCACTTCTTCTTCTTCTTCGAAATGGCTCTCACGAAAGTGATGAATCTGATGACGATTCTCGTTCTCTTCATCTCGACGACACTGACCTTTGCGCAATCCAAAGATGTCGGACACATCTCCATACGCGTCTCTGAAACCGGTCTCGAATTCGCGAAAAATTTCTTCATCCGCGAGGTGATATCTACGACGATTCTGCTTCAGCTACCAAACATCGAGAAGAAGGTTAATATCCTTTTAATCGGGAAAGTTCGAATGGGTCTGTCGAATATTAGGATTTACGCGGTTGATGTCCAGTCGTCGAGGATTGAGACGGGGAAAAATGGAATCGTTCTGAGTGTTTAAGGTGCGGCTGCAGATTTGAGCATGGATTGGTCTTATACTTATAAAGCTTCCTTCTTTCAGATTTCTGATCATGGAGATGCTTCTGTTACTGTAATTTTCTGGCGGTAAAAAAAAGTTATGTGCTTTTTGAAATGGGCTTTTAAAATTTTTCTCTGCATGTTCTGAAAATCATCGAAAACCAAATTTGGGTCTTTCATTTGTGACATTCTGTTTCATCAGAAGAAGAGAAAGCTTAACGGATATGGTGATGATTCTGATGACGAAGGTTAAAGGAATGGATTTGAAAACCTCTATCACTTTGATCGATGATAATGGAAGTCTAAAGATTGCCACACGGGAAAGTGATTGTAAAGTGAAAAGCATCGGTATTCATATCAATGGTGGTGCTTCTTGGCTATATCAAGGGCATTGTTGTTAGATGTCATCATCACTTGCAGTTTTTTTTATTCTCAGAATAGAAAGAAAAAGATTCTTATTCTTTCTGTTTGTGCAGGGTGGTTGATGCATTTGACAAGAATATTATTTCAACTGTTGAAAATAATGTTTCTAATCAAATATTGAAGAAGATGAAGAAGCTTGTTTCTTTCTTGCAATCACTTCCGAAAGAGAGAAAGATTGATGACAATGTCGCAGTGAATCTCTCTTTTGCAGGAAGCTCTCTATTGGGTGATTCCTCTGTTGAAGTTGAAATCAGTGATTTGTTCATGCCAAATGGCAATGGTGTTGTAGCTTCAGGACATTGGTCTTCTTCCATCTTGTTGAACAATAATCAAATCTCTATAAACTAAGTCACATTTACATAAGTTAGTTACACAACGAAGAGTCACCATTTCTTAAGAGTCACGACCTGTACTTCTATAAGTTGTATCTTTCCTATTAAGAGTCATGTCTCTTCAAACACAATGTTTTGTCTAGTATAAATATATGTCGAGTCTCACATTTGTAACAACAACAAGTTTTCTCATAATCAGTAATAAACACAAGTTTTCTCTTATACTCTGTTTTTCGTTCTACAAAACAGAGCAACAAGTAAACACTTGTTTTGCTCTTTGAGTCAGAAGTTTTCGCTTCTAACATGGTATCAGAGCTTTACGGTTAAGAGGACAAAAGAGAAAGCACTAGTTTACAGATCATTGTAAGAAGGAAAGAAGCAACAAGAAGATATCGCATACGTAAATCGCAAAATAAGCCGAAAGGATGCAAGGGTCCTAACATCAAGTGATCCCTATATTCAATGTGGAGAAGTGCATATTGCGCCTAGATCCAATTCCGATTTGTATAACTCTCTTACTCTCAGCTCACACACTCGAAACAAGAATGAGAAAACAAGCACAAGAAAGAGACGACACAGAGATTGTTTAAACAGAGTTCGTGTTCGAAATGATACACTACTCTCTGGGGCCAGACTCAGCCAGCAATCCACTATCAAGATAATCGAACTCTCAGATCAGAGAAGACTCGTCGAAGAAGATGATTACAAGAGAAGTGACGAATTAGCTTACCCTAGACCCGAACCTATACCCTTTCATAAATCAAAGATTTACAATAAACCGGGTCTAAGTCAGAGTAACAATTAATCTGTCAAACCGAGCTAGAATACAGCACCGGCTTAACATCTCGGCCTTTTTCTGAGCCGCCTGCTCGGCTTTCGCTGATTCGTTCTCAACGCAATCCTTAGTCGCAGGGTTTTCCGGTTCCCGGACGCTAGGAGACCCAAATGCAGACTCCAGGTCGGCTGATAGATCCTTGAAGGAGAGTGATTTCATCTTTTAAAATTGGCGTGAACGACGTTCAAGGACAGTTGAAAGTCCATACACAAATATATATATTAGCCGACCCAGACAAGATAGTAGCCGACTAGGAAATGCAAAGTTAACCAACCTCTAGTTCTTGTGATTTTTTCTTCCGTAATCTCGGGCCACGTAATTGCGCTGATCACAGAAAATCTCTCCGAGATGTTGTAGATGTCGACTGGATCGTCAACGATTGGAAGGGGCCTATTACCTGCATAGTAAACAAAACCGGTTAGTAAATCAAGCATACACGAGCGTTTAAAGCTAACTATTCAGGTCGGGTATATCTCTACCCATGACCTCCGCCTATTTTATTCGAATTGGAATGTCTCGATCAACGACGGAGAAGTCGTTGATCAGTACGAAGAAGTAACGATCTCTCCAATCCGCTACCTTCGACTTTTGACCCCCGGTCACAATGTTAAACCGCGTCTTCATGCTCGTGTAGTACGACCTGCGATTTCTAAGTTTTGCCTTGGTACGTCTGGTATTCAGCATCACATCGAAGGCGGCCCGGGTTAGGGGGATGTCATGCTTGATCGACATCACTAACATGCTGACGATCAAGCAGATCGTCGCATGGGTGAATTGGCAGATCAGCATTTCCTTCCGGTCGGCGAACTCCAGCAGCAGCCTCGGGAGGGGAAACGACAGATGAAAGTCTCTGAAGAAGCATTCGTAGAGACATAGCTATCCTTTGGGGGCGTCCCATGACCGCTCTGAAGGACTTGGGACCATAAAGATCACATCAGAGCCGATGTCGCACCCCTCTTTTAGTGTCACCAGAGACTCCATGGTTGACTTGGTTGGCATCACCCCCAAGGCGATATCACAGGTCGGCTTATCCACCTTCTCCCCATTTCGCTTCTTGAACTTTTTCACGGGAGGATTCATATCGATTATACCGAACTGATCGAACTGGTTGACTTCTTCTTCTGCGATGATGGCGTTCAATTCATCCGAGATATCCATCTCGTTAGATCCGCCTCTCACGTCAGCCTCATCCTGTAACTCGGGAATCTCGAACTCTAATCTGGAAGAAGTCTCACCAGATCTACCTACAAACCCAACCTGATCGGCGGGAAATCTATCAGCCGCCGCCTGCTGATTCTTCATCCTCACGCACTCCTGGAATTCTCGTTCCAGTGCGGACAGTTCGCTCGCATCCGAAGACCGATCTGACTCCGACGGTTGGTTGATGACCTTCTTTCCTTTTGATCGGCTCTTTGCAGTCTGATCATCTTTGTGCATCTGACGAAACTCTTCCAGAGACGCACCAATCTCATCGGCTCTTGCTTGAGCCGACCTGCTCACTCCTGACCCAGGTCGGCCTTCTCTGATGCTTAAATTTTTGCTCATCATAGATCTGAGGCTTAACGGATCCTTCGGGCTGATTGGTGAATTCACACGGCAACAATCGAACGAAACTGGCGGAGGTCTAATCGGAAAATTCTAACAAAATACCATGAAGAGAGGAGAAGAGAGAGAAGGGAGCAAACCTGAATTTGACAGAGTTTCACTAAAAATGCAGAAGTGAAGAAATGTAAGTCGAGTCCCTCTTATTTATACAAAATTATGGACGGTTATCGAGAGTCATCATGAGTTTGGCGACCTTTCAGATTTCTTCTCATTTTATTTTAATCGGCCTCTTCGCCCTCCTCTTCTAGCCTTTGACACGTGTCAAACCTAGTTTTGCATGCGCAGACCTAGGCCTAATCTACGATGCTTTTGGTGGGAACTTCAGGCGGGAGTTTTTCGCGCCCAAATTCACCATCTGACCCTCGACATCGCGCCGATCTGAACTCGAGGTAAAATTATATTTTATATATTCTAACTCTTTTGGCAGCCGACCTGAATCCATATCGAGCAACACCTCTTGAAATTCGCCAAGTAACGTATCCTCACTTGCCGAACTGGGAGGGACTTACTGTTAGAGATGAGATTGGTACCATCTCTAAAAGCCCGATATGAATTCTGGTCGGCCCATCTTACTTGGCTCAGGTCAGCCAAATAAATAGAAATCTTCCATTTATCAATAGAACCCAGGAAGAACGGAAGTTTAGTCTTATCGGCAAGAAGACTTTCCTATTCCGAACATACATTGAAGACCGACCTGATCGGTTATAAATACGGGAAGTCCTCGACTTCTCAGATCCATCCAAAAATCCTCTCTCGAGACCTAGAACAAACTAAGCAAATCTCATTATTCTAGTTCTCGATCTTATTTCCATAAAAGTTTAGATGAGCATTCTTATTCCGACGACCTAACATCCGTGTATCTCTCAAACTCCAGCTAAATCTTAATAAAAGATCTCTCTTTAAACCCACAAACTCTTGTTCAATCTTTAGATCGGATTTGAGTTATAATAAATATAGAAAGAGATAATCTTATATAATAGATTTTGGTTGAAAAATCTGCACTTAGCAATGATAAGTGAAATGTCTATTATGTGTTACGGTGTATATAGTTAGTCTCTGCTCCTCTGAAAGTGTCTTTTTTTGTGTGTTTGCAAACCATTAATAGTCTCTTATTATATAAAACTCAGAAGAACTATCTCTTTGGCTGATTTGTTTATTTTGTAATGGAAAAATATATACTACATAACATAATCATCTATAATCTGATCTATTACTAATATAAGTTGATGCTAAATGCCTCTAAGAATGTTCACATATGATTTAAATATTCAATTCTATTGGTACACATCATCATTATTTTTAGTTAATTATATATTATATATTGAAATTAATTAATTCATTTTAATTGCTATAAGGAAAATTTCTAAATTTTAATTAATTTTGTTTTTGTTGTTATTAGGAAAGTTTCTAAATTTTAAGTTAGTTATTAATAAAAAAGAGTTTTGAAAGTAGATCTTATTTTTCTATTAACGATAAAAAGGTAAATTAGCTTATGAAAGAAAAAATCATATATATTGAACAAAATTATTAAAAACTGTATTTAAAACCATAATTAAATTATTTAGAGTTTTGAAAATAGATCTTATTTTTCTATTAACAATAAAAAGGTAAATTAACATATGAATAGCTTATGAAAGAAAAATCATATATATTAAACAAAATTATTAAAAACTGTATTTAAAACAATAATTAAATTATTTAGAGTTTTGAAAATAGATCTTATTTTTCTATTAACGATAAAAAGGTAAATTAACATATAAATAGCTTATGAAAGAAAATCATATATATCGAACAAAATTATTAAAAACTGTATTTAAAACCATAATTAAATTATTTTAAAATTTTAATCACGACAAACAATTAAAATTTGAACTGCTAACTTAAAATATATTAGTTGTGGTCTGTGTTGATGTCTTAGGCCAATGAGAGCATCCACATAGGACATATATACTCTAACTGATTAGTCTATATCAGCGTTTTTCATTAAACATAAAAAATAAAAAATATTATTAATAATTTAAATAAATTAAAACATACAAAAATATAAAATTATCACAATAGAATGAAAAATAAAGATAATTTTTTTAATTAAATAAAATAAATTTATGTCAAAAGTCTAAATCTATTGTGAAAATAAAATGGAAACTCATTGTCACAAAAACTAAACTAACAAAAACAAATATGTAAATCAATAGCCAAAAATTTAAATTAAAAAATAAATTTAGCATAAATATTTTAAATGAGTAATTTATTTAGAAAAATTATTAAGATGAAATTTTCATATAAACATATAAAATTGTTATTTAAAATATTAATACTACCAAAACAATATTCATCTTAAATTATCAAAAAAGAAAGTCATCTGAAACTTATAATTTTTGGGGAAATATTTGAAAACAATTAACACAAAAATCTTAACAAACCAAAAATGGTACTTTATGCTAATTACTGAAGAAAGCAATATTAAAATTATTCCACTA